ATGCGAGTGGCCGGGCTCTGTCTGTGCTGAGCACAGTTGGAGGTGGGTTCAAAGACAGGGAAGCCCCCTAGACTGTTCCCAAATGGTCCTGTCTGCTGACTCACCCTCGTGCCCGCCAGGCCAAGTCAGCATCTGATAGATCGCATGTGCTCTCTAGGCGTTAGTCACAGGAATTAACAAATGGGTGAATGGATAGATGGTGGGATGGATGGATGAATGGATGGATGAGGGAGGGATGGATGGATGGATGGATGGATGGATGAATGAGGGATAGATGGATGGATAGATGGATGAGGGATAGATGGATGGATGGATGAGGGATGGATGGATGGATGGATGAATGAGGGATAGATGGATGGATAGATGGATGAGGGATAGATGGATGGATGGATGAGGGATGGATGGATGGATAAATGGATGGATGAATGGATGAATAAATGGATGGATAGATAGGTAGATAGATGGACGAATGGATGGATGAATGGATGAGGGATAGATGAGCTAGCCCAGAAGATCAGGCCTAAAATCAGAGGGCTCAGAGAGGCTAGAATATTTGGTAGCCTTTTGCTCTCCCTGGAGTCCTTGCATTTCAAGTAGGTTTTCCACTGTGAGGTTCTGCTCTTTTGAGGTTCTTGTTAACCGAACTTCTCATTAAACACTTGGCACTTATGGCTGGGCACGGTCCCCAGTCTCCTCCCCACCCCCAGAGCTAGTCCCCTGGAGGCAGAAACCTTGTCTTTGTCCATCAGAGCCCTCCAAGCATCTAAAGAGCCCTCGCCACCGTGCGAGTCCTGAAAGGTTCTCACTAGGGAACCTCTGCTCGATCACCACACCACCACCTCCCAGCATCGGGGGACCAGGACCTCCCACCTGCCAAACAAGAAAAGCAGCAGGCCGGCCCGCGCCTGCACTGGTGGAGAGCACCCACGCTGTGGCCTCGAGCTCGCTTCATTCTCCGCACCCAATGTCACCGCACAGGAGCACAGGGCACAAGAACAGAGGCCACACGCAACGCTGGCAACTTTCCGAGGACAGGAGGACAAGGTGCTGCCGGAGACGGGGAAGGTGGGAGGTGGGTGCCAGGGGACAGGTCACGGCGATGCGGCTGGTACCCGGCCAGAGTGAGGGACTCGCGGAAAAGATCCGTCGCCCTGTGCTCCCTGCACCAAGCCACTCACCTCTTACCCCAGAGAACCAGCGATTTCTAAGAAACAAGGCTTCGGGTGTGAGAATAAACGCCTTCAGGAATGCCCCCCACTGGTCAAAATGACACTGAACTTCAGTGAGCTGCTCCCTGAAAAAAATGCTGTAGTGTAATTCCCGCTGGTGCCGAATATGCATCTAATTGTTGTCTACACACAAACACACACACACACACACACACATACTTACACTCACACACACGTACTCACACACTCACACTAACTTACACACACACACTATTCTATCTCTTATCTTTTATCTATCATCTATCTATCAATCTATATCTATTTACCGACCTATCCACCTGACGTCCAGGTAATCACTTAGCTCCATGACCTTCAGAAAGCTGCTCAAGTTATTGAGATTCTCATGTTTTCAACCAAGAAATGAAAGTACAGGGCCTCTCAGCTCCGTGAACTGTGGATCAAAGGGTTGTCAGTGTGTGTGGGTTTGTAACTTGGAGCTTAAAGGTTGGAGAGATGAAGCCACCGAATACAGTCCTTTCAGCATGATCATCTCTGCTGACAGTTCACAAAATGTCAGGGGACACTGGCAGGAAGGCAACACGTCGGCCCTACGACTCCCACACTTCGCACGTCTTTAGGCGTCAGGCTGGGTGTGGTGGGGGCTCTGCCTGCAGGAGGCCCAAGCCCTTCACCCACACACGTACAGAGGTCTCGCCATCCCCGCTGTCTCCCACAAAACACCGTGAATGCCACGTGGGAGACCATCCCCCAAGTCTGCCTGGTGGAGCAGAGCAGTGAAGGCTAACCTTACAGGGGGAACCCGGCCTAAATCCGCGTCTGCTACCTGCAGAGGGGACCGGCGAGGGCAAGGTAATCGGACCCTTTAACTATCGAAGCTCCTGGCAGTGCCAGGCACTAAGGCGACTCCGTTCTGATGGCGCCACGGGCACTCCTGGCATCTCTGCTACTCGGCGTTGCTGCCAACAGCCGGGACGGCGAGGGGCCTCCTCGCTGCAGGGGAGGCAGGGAGAGGCTTCGGACGGACGCCGGCGGAGGTCAGCGCCCCATTTCCCGCGTGGGGAGGCGGTTTGTTGCTGGTTTTTTATTCCTTCCTTAAACGTAACGTTAAGTTCCATAATTAGACTGTACATTTCACTGCGAGGGCATTTGCATACCTCTGGCGTTAAAACAAGAGTTGCTTTTGGGGGAAAATGCATCTTTTAATAAAATGTTCTGTCCCACGTGGGTGGAAAGAAAGGAAACAAATTGGAAGTGACAAATTCTATCCCTGCAGACCCACAAGTCAAGGGACAGGAGCTGGGAAGTTGCCTTGAAGGGATTTCCGCGTCATCGGGGACGGCTGGGAAGGAGAAGCTACTGAGGTGAGGCGAGGAAAGGGGTGCGGAGAACTCCGGTGAGATGGGAAGGCGAGATGAGGCTTCCCTCAGCGCCGGCCTCCGGCCCCGCCCACACTTGGCTGCGTGGCTCTTTGTCAAGGGGAGTCGGGGGGACCCTGAACACTGGAGCCGGAAGGAGCGGGAAAGCCAACGGCGTCAACTGCCCTTGTTCCCGACACGGAGCGGCGTGTCCGTTTCCCAGATCTCCTGGTTTCGTTTTCAGATCACCAGGCGTCAGCATCCCTCACACTGCAAACTCGGTCCACAGCCTGTGTGCGGGCGGCCCTGGGGAAGCAGGCTGGGCCTGTGGTGGCCCCGGGAACACAGAGCATCTGGGGAGCGGCAGGCCTGGCGGGGACCGTGCCCTCCCTGCTGTGGGGTCTCCTGATCACAGCCCTGGCCCTGGGCTACTCTCTGACTCCGGCTCCATAGAGAGGCCCGCTGGACGCACTGTGTCCGATTGGTGGCCAGTGAGCCACTGCGGCTGACGGCGAGGACTCCTGAGAGTGACAGCTTGACCAGAGCTCTCCCCTCCCCTCCTCTCCCCTCCCCTGCACTCCCCTCCCCTCCCCTCCTTTCCCCTCCCCTCCCGCGTGACCAGCCCTGGCTTCGGCTGCTTGGCCCACAAGCATGTCCTGGGCACCTGGCATGTTCCACGCACGGCTGTGACCTCACGCAGCTCCAGCTGTTTACTGCTCACAAGCACATGGGGATGAATCACCTCACATTTTATAAGCGGGGACTTGCCGCCTTGTGCTTCCCACCCCCCTGGTGGGCTCACCTCCCTCCTGGTGCACCTGCCTCGCACAGTCTGCCTGGGACCCCTTTCTCCGGCCGCTCTCTGCTCTGCAGCCCCACCCCTCCCCTAGCTCTGACCTCATTCTGGGTCCGTCATCCGGCCCAGGGCGT